CATCATTTTCCCCGGGTCCCCAAAAATTCCGGGGCGTGCCCCCACATTCGGGGCACCCCTCTCTTCCACCCCCGATGACGTCAGACCCGCCACGCGCGTCCCCCTAATTAACCCCACGCCGCTCATTAACCCCCGTGACGTCACCTGCGGCACCCCCTTAATTTGGGGGCTCACCCGGGGGTGGGGGGGGGTGTCTCCACCCCCACGTGACCCCTGGGCGGGGGGGGGAGGGTCTCGGGGACCCCTCCCCACTCGTGTCCCCACGCGGGGACTTCGCCGCCCGCTCTGTCACCGGCCCCGCGCCGCTCTCGGGGCTCCTCTGCCTGGCAACCGCTGACGTCACAGGCACGGAGCGCTGCCATTGGCTGGCGCCGGGTTGGCCCCACGGGTGGGCTCCGCGTGGGGACACGGAGGGGCCATGGGTGTCCTCGGGGCGCTGCTCGGGGGGGTTCTGGTGGCCGCGGCCGTCGCTGAGCCCGGTAGGAGCTGGGGGAGGGGAGAGGGAGGGAGAGGGAGAGGGAGGGGACGAGCGGCGTGGTCTCACTTTGGTGTTTGTCCTCTCTCTGTCGCCTCCTCCTGTCCTTTTGCTGTCACCTCTGTCCCTCTCCCCTTCCCGTCCTCCTCTCCCTCTGCCTTTTCCCTCTCACTTCCATGTCCCCTCCCTGTTCCCTCTCCCCTTCCCAATCCTCCCTGTCCTCTCCCTGTCTCCCTTCCCTCTCCCCTTTTCCCTCTCCCTTCTCCCTCTCCCCTCCCCTCTCCCCTTTTCCCTCTCCCTTTCCCTCTCTCCATTTCCCTCTCTCCATTTCCCTCTCCCTCCCCGTCCCTCCCTCTCCCTTTTCTCCTCCCTTCTCCTTCCCCATTTCCCCTTCCCTCTCCTCCCTTTTCCATTTCCCTCTCCCTTTGCACACCTCCCTCTCCCCTCTCCCTCTCCCCTCTCCATTTCCCTCTCCCCTTTCCCCTTTCCTTCTCCCCTTTCCCTCTTCCCTCCTCCATCCCCATTTCCTCCTCCCCATTTCCCTCTCCCTTTCCTCTCCCCATTTCCCCCTCCCCATTCCCCTCTCCCCATTTCCCCTCTCCATCCTCATTTCCCTCTCCCCATCCCTCTCTCCCCATTTCCCCTTCCCCATTTCCCTCTCCCCATTTCCCTCCCCTCTCCCCATTTCCCTCTCCCCATTTCCCCTCCCCATTTCCCCTCTGAATCCCTCTCCCCTCTCCCCATTTCCCTCTCCCTTTCCTCTCCCCCTTTCCCTCTCCCCATTTCCCCCTCCCCATCCCTCTCTCCCCATTTCCCCCTCCCCATTTCCCCTCCCCATCCCTCTCTCCCCATCCCTCTCCCCATTTCCCTCTCCCCATTTCCCTCTCCCCATTTCCCTCTCCCCATTTCCCTCTCCCTCTCCCTTCCCTCTCCATTTCCCCCTCCCCATCCCTCTCCCTTTCCTCTCCATTCCCCTCTCCCCATTTCCCTCTCCCTCTCCCTTCCCTCTCCATTTCCCCCTCCCCATCCCTCTCCCTTTCCTCTCCATTCCCCTCTCCCCATTTCCCTCTCCCTCTCCCTTCCCTCTCCATTTCCCCCTCCCCATCCCTCTCCCTTTCCTCTCCATTCCCCTCTCCCCATTTCCCTCTCCCTCTCCCTTCCCTCTCCATTTCCCCCTCCCCATCCCTCTCCCTTTCCTCTCCATTCCCCTCTCCCCATTTCCCTCTCCCTCTCCCTTCCCTCTCCATTTCCCCCTCCCCATCCCTCTCCCTTTCCTCTCCATTCCCCTCTCCCCATTTCCCTCTCCCTCTCCCTTCCCTCTCCATTTCCCCCTCCCCATCCCTCTCCCTTTCCTCTCCATTCCCCTCTCCCCATTTCCCTCTCCCTCTCCCTTCCCTCTCCATTTCCCCCTCCCCATCCCTCTCCCTTTCCTCTCCATTCCCCTCTCCCCATTTCCCTCTCCCTCTCCCTTCCCTCTCCATTTCCCCCTCCCCATCCCTCTCCCTTTCCTCTCCATTCCCCTCTCCCCATTTCCCTCTCCCTCTCCCTTCCCTCTCCATTTCCCCCTCCCCATCCCTCTCCCTTTCCTCTCCATTCCCCTCTCCCCATTTCCCTCTCCCTCTCCCTTCCCTCTCCATTTCCCCCTCCCCATCCCTCTCCCTTTCCTCTCCATTCCCCTCTCCCCATTTCCCTCTCCCTCTCCCTTCCCTCTCCATTTCCCCCTCCCCATCCCTCTCCCTTTCCTCTCCATTCCCCTCTCCCCATTTCCCTCTCCCTCTCCCTTCCCTCTCCATTTCCCCCTCCCCATCCCTCTCCCTTTCCTCTCCATTCCCCTCTCCCCATTTCCCTCTCCCTCTCCCTTCCCTCTCCATTTCCCCCTCCCCATCCCTCTCCCTTTCCTCTCCATTCCCCTCTCCCCATTTCCCTCTCCCTCTCCCTTCCCTCTCCATTTCCCCCTCCCCATCCCTCTCCCTTTCCTCTCCATTCCCCTCTCCCCATTTCCCTCTCCCTCTCCCTTCCCTCTCCATTTCCCCCTCCCCATCCCTCTCCCTTTCCTCTCCATTCCCCTCTCCCCATTTCCCTCTCCCTCTCCCTTCCCTCTCCATTTCCCCCTCCCCATCCCTCTCCCTTTCCTCTCCATTCCCCTCTCCCCATTTCCCTCTCCCTCTCCCTTCCCTCTCCATTTCCCCCTCCCCATCCCTCTCCCTTTCCTCTCCATTCCCCTCTCCCCATTTCCCTCTCCCTCTCCCTTCCCTCTCCATTTCCCCCTCCCCATCCCTCTCCCTTTCCTCTCCATTCCCCTCTCCCCATTTCCCTCTCCCTCTCCCTTCCCTCTCCATTTCCCCCTCCCCATCCCTCTCCCTTTCCTCTCCATTCCCCTCTCCCCATTTCCCTCTCCCTCTCCCTTCCCTCTCCATTTCCCCCTCCCCATCCCTCTCCCTTTCCTCTCCATTCCCCTCTCCCCATTTCCCTCTCCCTCTCCCTTCCCTCTCCATTTCCCCCTCCCCATCCCTCTCCCTTTCCTCTCCATTCCCCTCTCCCCATTTCCCTCTCCCTCTCCCTTCCCTCTCCATTTCCCCCTCCCCATCCCTCTCCCTTTCCTCTCCATTCCCCTCTCCCCATTTCCCTCTCCCTCTCCCTTCCCTCTCCATTTCCCCCTCCCCATCCCTCTCCCTTTCCTCTCCATTCCCCTCTCCCCATTTCCCTCTCCCTCTCCCTTCCCTCTCCATTTCCCCCTCCCCATCCCTCTCCCTTTCCTCTCCATTCCCCTCTCCCCATTTCCCTCTCCCTCTCCCTTCCCTCTCCATTTCCCCCTCCCCATCCCTCTCCCTTTCCTCTCCATTCCCCTCTCCCCATTTCCCTCTCCCTCTCCCTTCCCTCTCCATTTCCCCCTCCCCATCCCTCTCCCTTTCCTCTCCATTCCCCTCTCCCCATTTCCCTCTCCCTCTCCCTTCCCTCTCCATTTCCCCCTCCCCATCCCTCTCCCTTTCCTCTCCATTCCCCTCTCCCCATTTCCCTCTCCCTCTCCCTTCCCTCTCCATTTCCCCCTCCCCATCCCTCTCCCTTTCCTCTCCATTCCCCTCTCCCCATTTCCCTCTCCCTCTCCCTTCCCTCTCCATTTCCCCCTCCCCATCCCTCTCCCTTTCCTCTCCATTCCCCTCTCCCCATTTCCCTCTCCCTCTCCCTTCCCTCTCCATTTCCCCCTCCCCATCCCTCTCCCTTTCCTCTCCATTCCCCTCTCCCCATTTCCCTCTCCCTCTCCCTTCCCTCTCCATTTCCCCCTCCCCATCCCTCTCCCTTTCCTCTCCATTCCCCTCTCCCCATTTCCCTCTCCCTCTCCCTTCCCTCTCCATTTCCCCCTCCCCATCCCTCTCCCTTTCCTCTCCATTCCCCTCTCCCCATTTCCCTCTCCCTCTCCCTTCCCTCTCCATTTCCCCCTCCCCATCCCTCTCCCTTTCCTCTCCATTCCCCTCTCCCCATTTCCCTCTCCCTCTCCCTTCCCTCTCCATTTCCCCCTCCCCATCCCTCTCCCTTTCCTCTCCATTCCCCTCTCCCCATTTCCCTCTCCCTCTCCCTTCCCTCTCCATTTCCCCCTCCCCATCCCTCTCCCTTTCCTCTCCATTCCCCTCTCCCCATTTCCCTCTCCCTCTCCCTTCCCTCTCCATTTCCCCCTCCCCATCCCTCTCCCTTTCCTCTCCATTCCCCTCTCCCCATTTCCCTCTCCCTCTCCCTTCCCTCTCCATTTCCCCCTCCCCATCCCTCTCCCTTTCCTCTCCATTCCCCTCTCCCCATTTCCCTCTCCCTCTCCCTTCCCTCTCCATTTCCCCCTCCCCATCCCTCTCCCTTTCCTCTCCATTCCCCTCTCCCCATTTCCCTCTCCCTCTCCCTTCCCTCTCCATTTCCCCCTCCCCATCCCTCTCCCTTTCCTCTCCATTCCCCTCTCCCCATTTCCCTCTCCCTCTCCCTTCCCTCTCCATTTCCCCCTCCCCATCCCTCTCCCTTTCCTCTCCATTCCCCTCTCCCCATTTCCCTCTCCCTCTCCCTTCCCTCTCCATTTCCCCCTCCCCATCCCTCTCCCTTTCCTCTCCATTCCCCTCTCCCCATTTCCCTCTCCCTCTCCCTTCCCTCTCCATTTCCCCCTCCCCATCCCTCTCCCTTTCCTCTCCAAAATTGGGGGAAAATTGGGGAAAAATTGGGGGGAATTTGGGGAAAAATTTGGGATGAAGGGTGGAGAATGTCGGGGAAAATTGGGGGGAAATTGGGGGAAAATTGGGGAAAAATTGGGGGGAATTTGGGGAAAAATTTGGGATGAAGGGTGGAGAATGTCGGGGAAAATTGGGGGGAAATTGGGGGAAAATTGGGGAAAAATTGGGGGGAAATTGGGGAAAAATTTGGGATGAAGGGTGGAGGATGTGGGGGGAAATTGGGGGGAAATTGGGGAAAAATTGCGGGAAAATTTGGGATGAAGGGTGGAAAATGTGGGGGAAAAATGGGAGGAAATTGGGGAAAATTTGGGAAAATTGGGAAATGAAGGGTGGAAAATGTGGGAAAAAATTGGTGAAAATTGGGGGAAAATCGGGGGAGGAAGGGTGGAAAATGTGGGGGAAAAATGGGGGGAAATTGGGGGGAAATTGGGGGGAAATTGTGGGAAAATTGTGGAAAAAATTGGGGATGGAGGGTGGAAAATGTGGAAAAATTTGGGAGAAATTGGGGATTTAGGGATGGAAAACATAGAAAAAATTTGGGACGGAAGGGTGGAAATTGTGGAAAAATTTGGGATGGAAAGAGTGAAAATTTGGGGAGGAAGAAATGGAAATCACCAAAAATTCTCGTTCCCAATCCCAAACCCTTTCCAATTATTCCCATTTTTCCCATCATTTTTCCCATCATTTTCCCCATTTTTCCATTTCCCCATAATTTTCCCCCTTTTTTCGTCCATTTTTCCCATTTTTACAATTTTTTTCCCATAATTTTCCCTTTATTTTCCATTTTCTCCATATTTTTCCATCATTTTTCCCATCATTTTCCCATTATTTTTCCCATTTTTTCCATTATTTCCTCATTATATTCCCCATTATTTTTCCCATAATTTTCCTATTTTCCCCATTATTTTCCCCATAATTTTTCTCATTATTTTTCCCATTTCCCCATTATTTTTCCCACCATTTTTCCCACCATTTTTCCCATCATTTTCCCCACTTTTTTCCATAATTTTCCCATTATTTTTCCCATTTTCCCCATTATTTTTCCTACCATTTTTCCCATCATTTTCCCCACTTTTTTCCATAATTTTCCCATTATTTTTCCCATTTTCCCCATTATTTTTCCCACCATTTTTCCCATCATTTTCCCCATTTTTTTCCATAATTTTCCCATTATTTTTCCCATTTCCCCATTATTTTTCCCATCATTTTCCCATCATTTTTTCCCATCATTTTCCCCTTTTCTATCTCAATTTTCCCATTTTTTTCGTCCATTTTTCCCATTTTTTCCATTATTTTTCCCATAAATTTCGAATTTTCCCATTTTTCCCATTTTCCCACCCAGAAATCCCGCTGATCTCGGTGTTCCTCACCCCAGGAGAAGCCACCACCCTGGTGTGCCTGCTGGAGAACATCTTCCATCCCATTTTTCTCCTCAATTTTCCCTTTTTTTCCCCATTTTTTGGTCCATTTTCCCCATTTTTTGGTCCATTTTCCCATAAATTTTGAATTTTTCCCATTTTTCCCATTTTTCCACCCAGAAATCCCGCTGATCTCGGTGTTCCTCACCCCAGGAGAAGCCACCACCCTGGTGTGCCTGCTGGAGAACATCTTCCACCCCATTTTTCTCCTCAATTTTCCCATTTTTCCCCATTTTTTCCCATTTTTTTCTCCATTTTTCCCCATTTTTCCCAATTTTTTCTCAATTTTTCCCATTATTTTGGTCCATTTTCTCCATTTTTCCCCATTTTCCCCATTTTTCCACCCAGAAATCCCGTTGATCTCGGTGTTCCTCAACCCAGGAGAAGCCACCACCCTGGTCTTCCATCCCATTTTTCTCCTCAATTTTCCCATTTTTTGGTCCATTTTCCCGATTTTTTGGTCCATTTTCCCCATAAATTTTGAATTTTCCCATTTTTCCACCCAGAAATCCCGTTGATCTCGGTGTTCCTCTCCCCAGGAGAAGCCTCCACCCTGGTGTGCTTGCTGGAGAACATCTTCCATCCCATTTTTCTCCTCAATTTTCCCATTTTTTGGCCCATTTTCCCGATTTTTTGGTCCATTTTCCCCATAAATTTTGAATTTTCCCATTTTTCCACCCAGAAATCCCGTTGATCTCGGTGTTCCTCTCCCCAGGAGAAGCCTCCACCCTGGTGTGCTTGCTGGAGAACATCTTCCATCCCATTTTTCTCCTCAATTTTCCCATTTTTTGGCCCATTTTCCCGATTTTTTGGTCCATTTTCCCCATTTTTTCGTTTATTTTGCCAATAATTTTCAAATTTTTCCATTTTTCCCATTTTTCCACCCAGAAATCCCGTTGATCTCGGTGTTCCTCAACCCAGGAGAAGCCACCACCCTGGTCTGCCTGCTTGAGAACATCTTCCACCCACTTATCTCCTCAATTTTCCCTTTTTTCCCCATTTTTTCCAATTTTTTTCTCCACTTTTCCCATTTTTTGGTCATTTTTCCCATTTTTTCCCATTTTTCCCATTTTTTCACCCAGAAATCCCGCTGATCTCGGTGTTCCTCACCCCAGGAGAAGCCACCACCCTGGTGTGCCTGCTGGAGAACATCTTCCACCCCATTTTTCTCCTCAATTTTCCCATTTTTCCCCATTTTTTCCCATTTTTTTCTCCATTTTTCCCCATTTTTCCCAATTTTTTCTCAATTTTTCCCATTATTTTGGTCCATTTTCTCCATTTTTCCCCATTTTCCCCATTTTTCCACCCAGAAATCCCGTTGATCTCGGTGTTCCTCACCCCAGGAGAAGCCACCACCCTGGTGTGCCTGCTGGAGAACATCTTCCACCCCATTTTCCCCATCATTTTCTCCATTTCTTGGTCCATTTTTCTCATTTTTTGGTCCATTTTCCCCATTTTTCCCATTTTTCCCATTTCCCACCCAGGCGTCCCGGTGGTCTCGGTGTTCCCGGCGCGTCCGCCGTCCCCAGGAGAAGCCACCACCGTGGTGTGCCTGCTGGAGAACATCTTCCACCCATTTATCTCCTCAATTTTCCCTTTTTTCCCCCCATTTTTTCCTATTTTGTTTGTCCATTTTTCCCAGAAATTTTGAATTTTCCCATTTTTCCCCCCAGGAATCCCGTTGATCTCGGTGGCCCCCCCCCCAGGAGAAGCCACCACCGTGGTGTGCCTGCTGGAGAACATCTTCCACCCATTTATCTCCTCAATTTTCCCTTTTTTCCCCCCATTTTTTCCTATTTTTTTGGTCCATTTTTCCCATAAATTTTGAATTTTCCCATTTTTCCACCCAGGAATCCCGTTGATCTCGGTGTCCCTCACCCCAGGAGAAGCCACCACCCTGGTGTGCCTGCTGGAGAACATCTTCCATCCCATTTTTCTCCTCAATTTTCCCATTTTTCCCCATTTTTTCCCATTTTTTTCTCCATTTTTCCCATTTTTTGGTCATTTTTTCCCATTTTTCCCATTTCCCTCGCAGGCGTCCCGGTGGTCTCGGTGTTCCCGGCGCGTCCGCCGTCCCCGGGAGAAGCCACCACCCTGGTGTGCCTGCTGGAGAACATCTTCCATCCCATTTTTTGGTCCATTTTTCCCATTTTTTGGTCCATTATTCCCATTTTTTGGTCATTTTTTCCCATTTTTCCCATTTCCCTCGCAGGCATCCCGGTGGTCTCGGTGTTCCCGGCGCGTCCGCCGTCCCCGGGAGAAGCCACCACCCTGGTGTGCCTGCTGGAGAACATCTTCCATCCCATTTTTTGGTCCATTTTTCCCATTTTTTGGTCCATTATTCCCATTTTTTGGTCATTTTTTCCCATTTTTCCCATTTCCCTCGCAGGCATCCCGGTGGTCTCGGTGTTCCCGGCGCGTCCGCCGTCCCCGGGAGAAGCCACCACCCTGGTGTGCCTGCTGGAGAACGTCTTCCCGCCGGCGCTGACCGTCGGCTGGACGCTGGCCGGAGCCGCGGTCACTCGCGGGGTCACTTCGGGTCCCTTCGTCCCCGACGCCGACCTCACCTTCGTCCGCTTTTCCCGAATTTCTGTCACCCCCCGGCCCGGGGACGTCGTCGCCTGCGTGGTCACCGCGGACGGGGACAACGCCACCGTGGTGGCCTACTGGGGTAAAGGGTTTGGGGGTTTTTGGGGGGGTTTGGGGGATTTTTGGGGATTTTTTTGGGAGTTTTTGGGATTTTTTGGGAGTTTTTGGGGATTTTTTGGGAGTTTTTGGGGATTTTTTGGGAGTTTTTGGGGATTTTTTGGGAGTTTTTGGGGATTTTTGGGGGGTTTTTTCAGGGTTTTTTGTGGATTTTTTCATGGTTTTTTCATGGGATTTTTGGGGGATTTTTTAGGATATTTTTGGGATTTTTGAGGTTTTTTGAGGGATTTTTGGGGATATTTTTGGGATTTTTTTAGGATTTTTTGGGTTTTTTTTGGGATTTTTTGAGAGTTTTTTGTGGATTTTTTCTTTTTTTTCATTGTTTTTTCATGGGTTTTTTGGGTAGATTTTTGGGGATTTTTTAGGATATTTTTGGGATTTTTGAGGTTTTTTGGGGGATTTTTGGGGATATTTTTGGGATTTTTTTTAGGATTTTTTGGGGGTTTTTGGGGATTTTTTGAGGGGTTTTTGAGGGCTTTTTGTGGATTTCTTCATTTTTTTCATTGTTTTTTCATGGGTTTTTTGGGTAGATTTTTGGGGATTTTTTAGGATATTTTTGGGATTTTTGAGGTTTTTTTGGGGGATTTTTTGGGATATTTTTGGGATTTTTTAGGGGTTTTTTCATGGTTTTTTTCATGTATTTTTCATGTATTTTTCATGTTTTTTTCATGGGATTTTGAGGGATTTTTGGGGATTTTGGGGGATTTTAGTTGGTTTTTTCATTATTTCCTCATGATTTTTTGTAGATTTTATGGGGTTTTTTGGGGGGATTTTTTTGTGGATTTTTTGTGGATTTTTTGTGGATTTTTTGTGGATTTTTCATGTTTTTTCATTGTTTTTTCATGGTTTTTTTGGTAGGTTTTTGGGGATTTTTGGGACATTTTTGGGAATTTTTTTAGGTTTTTTTGTGGATTTTTTCGTTATTTTTTTATGGTTTTTTCATGGTTTTTTAAGATTTTTGGGAGGATTTTTTTTTGGGATTTTGGGGATTTCTTGAGGATTTTTGGGGATTTTTTTGGCGATATTTTTCATTATTTTTTGTAGATTTTGGGGGATTTTTGGGGGGATTTTTTTGTGGTTTTTCTGGGATTTTTTTGGAGAGTTTTTTAGGGGTTTGGGAGGATTTTTTTCATGGTTTTTTCATGGTTTTTTTTCATCGTTTTTATATATGTTTTTTGGGGGGTTTTTTGGTAGATTATTGGGTGATTTTTGGGTGGTTTTTGGGTGATTTGGGGTATTTGGGCTGCATTTTTTTGTGATTTTTGGGGTATTTTTGGGGTACTTTGGTGTGAGTTTTGGTGATTTTGGGGTGATTTTTGAGGTATTTTTGGGGTATTTTTGGGGTATTTTTGGGCACATCCCGTGGCTGAAGGTGACCTCGGGGCCGTGTCCGCAGTGGCTCCGGACGCGGCGCTGGACGAGCAGCTGGACACGGCGTTGGCCGGAGCCGCGCTGGCCTTGGGGCTGATCCTGGCCCTGCTGGGGGCCGGCCTGGCCCTGCTGGCTCGCAGGAACCCGCACGGTACGGGATAGGCCCGGCCTAAACCTGGGCCTAAGCCTAGACCTGGGCCTCGGCCTAATCCTGGGCCTAAACCTGGGCCCAGGCCTGGTTCTGGTTCTGGGCCTAAGCCTAGGCCTGATCCTGGGCCTAAGCCTAGGCCTGGGCCTGATTCTGGGCCTAGGCCTGGGCCTGGGCCTGGTTCTGGTTCTGGGCCTAAGCCTAGGCCTGGGCCTGGGCCTGATTCTGGGCCTAAACCTGGGCCCAGGCCTGGTTCTGGTTCTGGGCCTAAGGTCTGGGCCTGGTCCTGGTTCTGGTCCTGTTCCTGGTCCAAGTCCTTGTCCTGGTCCTGATCCCAGTCCCAGTCCTGGTCGAAATCCCAGTCCCGGTCCTGATCCCAGTCCAGCCCTAATCCCAGTCCCAATTTGGATCCCGGTCCCAGTCCTGATCCCGGTCCTAATTCTGATCCCAGCCCTGGTTCTGGTGCTGGTCCTGACCCTAATCCTGGTCCCATTCCCAGTCCTGGTCCCAGTCCCAATCCCAGTCCCAGTCCCAGCCCTAATCCCTGTCCCAGGCCCAGGCCCAGGCCCAATCCCAGTCCAAACCCAAATCCCAGTCCCAGTCCCAGTCCCAGTCCTAATTCCAATCCCAATCCCAGTCCAAACCCAACTCCCAGTCCCAATTCCGATCCCAATCCCAGTCCAAACCCAAATCCCAGTCCCAATTCCAATCCCAGTCCCAGCCCTAATCCCAGTCCCAGTCCCAGTCCCAATCCCAACCCTAATCCCAATCCCAGGCCCAGGCCCAATCCCAGTCCCTATTCTGATCCAATCCCAGTCCAAACGCTAATCCCAACCCTAATCCCAGTCCCAATCCCAGTCCAAACCCTAATCCCAACCCTAATCCCAGTCCCAATCCCAGTCCAAACCCTAATCCCAGCCCTAATCCCAGTCACAGTCCCGGGGGTGCCACTGGGGGAATCGTCCCCAATTTTGGGTTTCTGTTCACAGGCTGAGCTCATCCCCACGGGAATCTGGGAGTTAAGCCCTGCCTGTCCGAAATAAATCCAGGCTTTGGCAGAGTCCGTGTCCTTCTTTGTCACAGGCCTGGCTTTAGGCCTGGCTTTAGTCCTGATCCTGATCCCGATCCAAGTCCCTGTCCAGGTTCTGGTCCTGGTTTTAGTCCTGATCCTGGTCCTGGTTTTAGTCCTGATCCTGATCCTGATCCACGTCCCTGTCCAGGTTCTGGTCCCGGTTCTGGTTTTAGTTCTGATCCTGGTCCTGGTCCCAGTTCTGGTCCTGGTTTTAGTCCTGATCCCAATCCTAGTCCCGGTTCTGGTCCTGGTTTTAGTCCTGATCCTGGTCCTGATCCCAATCCTTGACCCTGATCCAGATCCAAGCCCCTGTCCAGGTTTTGGTCCTGGTTTTAGTTCTGATCCTGGTCCTAGTCCCAGTTCTGGTCCTGGTTTTAGTCCTGATCCTGGTCCTAGTCCCGGTTCTGGTCCTGGTTTTAGTCCTGATCCTGGTCCTAGTCCCAGTTCTGGTCCTGGTTTTAGTCCTGATCCTGGTCCTGATCCCAATCCTTGACCCTGATCCAGATCCAAGTCCCCGTCCAGGTTCTGATCCTGGTTTTAGTCCTGATCCTGATCCTCATCCTAGTCCCTGTCCAGGTTCTGGTCTCAGTTCTGATCCTGGTTTTAGTCCCGGTCCAGGTTTTAGTCCTGGTCTTGATCCTGGTCCCAGTTCTGGTCCAGGTTTTAGTCCTGATCCTGGTCCCAGTTCTGGTCCGGGTTTTAGTCCTGATCCTGGTCCCGGTTCTGGTCCAGGTTTTAGTCCTGACCCTGATCCCAATCCAAGTCCCTGTCCAGATTTGGTCCTGATCCTGGTCCTAGTCCCAGTTCTGGTACTGGTTTTAGTTCTGATCCTGGTCCTGATCCCAATCCTTGACCCTGATCCAGATCCAAGTCCCCGTCCAGGTTTTGGTCCTGGTTTTAGTCCTGATCCTGGTCCTAGTCCCAGTTCTGGTCCTGGTTTTGGTTCTGATCCTGGTCCTTATCCCAATCCTTGACCCTGATCCAGATCCAAGTCCCTGTCCAGGTTTTGGTCCTGGTTTTAGTCCTGATCCTGGTCCTGGTCCTGCTTGTGATCCTGATTCCAATCCTAGTCCTGATCCTGGTCCTGTTTTTAGTCCTGGTCCTGGTCCAGAACCTGGTCCTGGCTTTAGTCCTGATCTTTTTCCAGGTACTGGTTTTGGTCTTGATCCTGGCCCTGGTTCAATCCTGATCCTGGTTTTAGTCCTGTTCCTGGTCCCAGTTCTGGTCCTGGTTTTAGTCCTGATCCTGATCCTGGTCCCAGTTCTGGTCCCGGTTTTACTCTTGATCCTGGTTCTGATCCTGATTCTGATCCTGGTTCTGATCCTGATCCTGATCTCGGTTTTATCCTGGTCCCGGTTCTGGTCCCAAGTCCCAGTCTCGGTTTTATCCCAGTCCCCTCCCAGTCCCCC